GCTGGCCCCCAGCAGGCTCTTAACCAGTCTTTTGCCAAAGGGAACTGCAACATATAACCTTTATATGGCTTCAGAAGTTATGCACTTCTGCAGAAAGGTCACGTAAAAACTAGTCTAGCCTTTCACACTTGCAGTATGTCAGGTTAACATGCTGTTCCTCTGAAAAAGTAAACTAGAAACTGCCCACTTGCTTTCTTCCTTCCCTTAATTTATTGGCACACATGCTCTAGGATTTGATCTCATGCTATTGTGTTGGAGATAAAACTCTTTGAAATATAGGCTTAGCTGGGAATAAAGACTATAGAATGAATATTGAGTGAATATTGACGCACTAAAGCTGTATTTAAAAAGCAGAATCCAGTCCAACTTTACTGAAACTCCACTTATTCCCAATTTACCTAACCAGATAAACTGAATTCACAGGACATTACATCACCACTGTTTTTCTTCTGTAGCCTATTGTAGATTATTTCCTTTGCAACTTATCTCTTGTGTTGAGGATGTTTATCTGGCATTTCCACGCTCTACTTACCATGCCGTCATCAATCCTTCCTCTTCATACCTTGGCTAAGTAAGTGGCACATTTCCTGCTCTTCCAGTAAGACGGCTTGTACTGCTTCTAATGTTATCCTGCTAACAATCGAAAATGTTCTTCTCTGAGTTGCAAATATGAAGCTCATGAGTTGTATTCGTGTAAAAATGATGCCCTCAGAATAAGAGTTTTAGCTGTTCTCTGAAATACCTGTATTTGTTATAACAAATATATATATTTATACAAGATACACATTAAATATGTATTAGCTATATAATAAACGTATATATCAGATAACTTATTTATAAAAATATTCAACAATAATGTCTCTTTTGAGCTTCAGAAGTTCATTCTATAATGACAAAATATTTTCTTCTTAGTACCATGCATGTACAGGTAATACTCCAAAGCACTTGAAATATTATATATATATATATATATTTTAAAAGGTTATGTCTCCTGACACACCCACAAGATTTTGCATTCTGCTGCTCGGGGCTTCTTTCTTCTAAATGAATGTGTTCAGCATCATGTCTTGGGGCCCTGATTTCTCCAGCTGGATGGAAATGAAAGCTTCTGGAGGCCCAAAAGCGAGCAAAAGTATGGTAGCAGGGATGAATCTGCTCTCAAAAGGTAGACTGGTAACTTCACCTGAGCTACTCAAATAACTTTTCTAGGCACAGTTTCTCCATGCAACTAATTCCTAATGCCATGCTCTTCTACAGCAGGCATGAGATCATCTGTAATCGATGTATTCTGGACTATTTAGTATTTTCATAATTTTGCAATGTTTTCAAGTGTACAAGTCACTGATATTCAGAACCCTTGAGATGTCTGCATTTCTCTCTTATTTCCACAGGATTTAATTTCAAGTCAAGGTCCCATCAACAGGGTATGTCTAAGTAACCAGAGCACTGAGCCTGCCAACTCAAGCTAAGAAATAGGGCACTTGGGAACGTGCTCTTAACATCTAGAGCAAATATGTTTTGCCACTATGAAGGCCCAGGTGAGGGTAAAATAGACAGTGCTCAGGATTTGCACTCCTCAGGAAGAGGACTTTTCTAGCCCATAACCCATACAGATTGCACTAGTTGTCCCTGTTAATGGTACGGCATAAATCCAAAGAATGTCCAGGAGAACATGAGGTGGCTGGGGGGGTTGCTTGCAGCTGCTGATTATCTAGTTCATTCCCGAACACAGAATTGCTTCGATTTGCTGAGCTCCTCTGACTTGGTAGACTTGCATTTCCTTCCTGAAACATGACAAATATCAATTCCAAACTTGTTCTTATAACGAATGGCAACTGTCCCTATTAAATCAACTCAAATTTGCAATTCTGTAGGCTTTTCTTTACCCTGGCTTTATGATGCAATAATACACTGAGATCACTGAAAGTCACAAAAAAAAAGCATTTCTCATTGAGCACAAGAGTAATGGAACTGTAGAAGCAGCAGGGGTCAGAGACAGTACCCAGTTTATAAATCAGACAAAGTTTATCACATGCAGCCAGCACAAATAAAATATGGATATTCCCAAATATTTATTTTTTAAAGATATATATCTAAATAAATTTATATCCAGACTACTTTGCCTGAAAATCAGTTGACCTCCTCAGAAATGTGAAAAACTACAGATGTACCCCAACATACCTGTTATGTAAGTCACAGTGAATAGCAGTATAAAGAAACCTCAGAAGTTTCTGTGCATTTACTTTTAAAAAAAATCCTATTTTTTGAACAAGAACAAATAATTGCTTTCTAAGTTCTTAAAGTCTTAATTCAAAAGTGGCACAGGCACTTTGCAGCCCAGATTTCATTGGTTTTCAGTGTTAGTTGTGGGAGACCTTTAAAGCACCCTATTTCCCCCACAAGGCAAGGAGAACTGCTGTCTTGTTGCGTAATAGACAGATTAACATGGAATAAAGAAGTCATGTTTTGAGCATTTACTGAGTTCCTTCTCTAAGTTCTAGGTTGACTTGGGTTGGTGCCAGCTTGCAAATGAGTCTGACCAACACATTTACTCCATTGCAATAGAAAACGAACTTACTTCCCAGAGGATCATTCCAGCTACTTAACAGAGCACAGGGAGGATACTACATTTATGACAAAAATAGAGGTCAACAACTGCTTTGGAAATAAGCAGGCAGACATGCAGCAGTGCGATTGCCAGCCATAAGACACCTTTCTTGAAAACGTCAATAGTTCAGTCTATAAACTACAAAAATATCAATGACAGTATAGGAAGGTCTTCATCCTTGACACTGAGGTTGTACATCTATAGGAATTTGCTCTTCTGAAGGTCCTAGACTATTAAAGCAGGGTCAAAGAAGCTGGACTGCACGAGGGCATATTGTGCTGTGAAACTTAGTGGCTGAACCTACGCCCGTCACGGCTCAGCCATCAGGGTCTTTGCTGTTGACCATTGAAATGAGGGGCTCTGCTGTACAGCACACAGCTCCTTTGGCACCATGCACCTAGATCTCCATCCAAGAAACAGGGAGCAATGCAGGGTCCCTCAGCACAAACACAGCCTGTGGCATCCTGCCTATATATTCAAACCCCTCTATTTCCTCTGCAAGGAGACTTATACTTTTTTTTTCCTGTTCATATGTTGATTTGGAAAAACAGATGCATGATCAATGCCCCAAGACAGAAAGACTCCAGTTTCTCAGAGAAAGGGAACAGGATCCAGCCTCCGGGACAAACTAGACCATGGCTTCTGCTATAGGTGAGACATGATGAGCCTGGCGAAGGCTGCGTCACTGGCTCCCCATCATACCGAGGCCCCTGACTCCAGGCCTCAGTGGGATGATTTTGACCTAAAAACACCAAGATCATGTTTTTCTGACCAGCCATCAGGGTACCAGCTTCTTTGGGCCAATCTATCTCACATGGTGCAGAATCACTGACCTGCTAAGTAAAGAGAGCATGCAAGCTGCAGAGTGGTGAAACCACTTTGTTCTGATAAACTTACACCCTTGAAGGTGAAGGTTTGCCCTAAGAGATCCATCACTGTCAGACAGTGCTCTTGGAATGGCAATCCATGCTCAGGGGCTTGCAAACCACAGCGACATAAGACATGTTTCCCTCCCCTCCACACACAGCAGCTCTGAATCACCCACAATGAGACCACTGAGAATCATAAGAAAGCGTATTTTTCTATTTTAAATTTAGAAAGAAACTGGTGCCACACAGGGAATGTTTCAGCCTCATTCTCTTAGCCTGTTCCCACTTGCCTCTATTAACTTTTGAACTCATTGACTAATTTTAAATGCATCTGACGAAAGAACAGAGATCCCAAGGGTATAAAGTTCCTTCCAGTTTTGCAAAATCAGCATCCATTTAGTGAGGAGATTCCGAGGGAAAAGGCAAGGCTGGTTTGCTCCTTAGCCGTGTTGTCTGGCTTGCCCAGCTCCCTGGGGGCCGGGGACAGCTGGGCTCCCAGTTCAACAGCCAGGCAATCAGTGCATGTGCAGCCACAGTCACTGGACAAACCACTTCTTGCCTAGCTAGAAAAAAATACACAGGCACTTCCAAAATACAGGAAAGAGATGAGGATGACAGATGGGATGTAGGGAATTTTAGGGGTATAAAAGCAGGCTGAGTATATGGAAGGGGGATGGATGGTGTATCTTAAGGAGAATAGAAATTTGTCAATACAAGACTAGGGAAGCCAAGACAAGCCCTAAAGAATCTCTATTAGCTTTATAAATTCAAAATTGCATATGAAGCCACGTAGCTCATCACGGTAATGCAGCTGCCTCTGGATGACATATAACACCTTGGCAAGAAAACGCAATACTGCGACGTGCAATGTTTTAGGGTGTATGAAGCAAAGAAAGCCCCTGAGCACCATATACTAAGCACAAGATGAAAAAAAAAACTGCAAAACATAAGATGATTATAGTAATGGCTTGGTAACCATGGCAGGTGGCTTTTGAACTGACATTACAGTGTGAGGCCAGCCTGTACAGTTCCCATTTGAAACAGCATTGCCCATTCTTCGGTCTTCTGGAAATAGGGCAAATGAAAGGGACAGGAGCTGACAGTATTGCCATCCCAGAAGAGCACATGTTTCACGATCAAGTTATGATTGCTAGCCTTCCTGCATACTATAGGATGGCTATACTATACTATAATATTATATATATACTACAGGCTATAAGATTTTTTGACCCAGATCATCTCCGATTTCTTCCAGCCCTATGCTGGGCTTTAGCTTTGCTTCATCACTTATCCCAACGAATACATTTATACAAATCACTGAGGTGACATGATTTATTTTTATGGCACGTGCTAATAAGCAACCAGTGCAGTTCCTGCAGTCATGAATGACACAATTCCAAGCGTTTTGCAGGATTACCATCCAATCGATTCTAAGCAGAGTTAAGATCCTGTCTTAAGGGCTAAGTCTGATGCACTCCATCACTAACGCAATCTGGGGAAGCAGATGCTGCTAACCTTTGCATCTAGGGCATGGGTAGGCTGGACCAAGGAACAAAAGGAACTGGCTGAACAACTGCCAGAAGTGCATTTTTCTGAAGGACCTGGCAGGTAAGGGTGAGTTGCATGTTGTTTATTACAGATGGGGACAAGAGCTAAGGAGAGTGAAAACACCAAGGTATGAGGCATTTCCTCAGTAATTTGAAAGGCAGCTTATTTTACAGACATCATTCTTTGTCTTGTACCACTTCAGCAGTTTATTTTAATGAAAGTAGGAGGATTGGAGAGCATTCTATTACATTTGTATACATTATTATTTACATAATGACTAAATGCAGACTAATATTAGAGATCAAGAGATCATTTCATTCAATTGTATTAGCTGAGAGATGCATTCTCAGCTCTCCTCTGCAGAGCTTGACATTACCAAACTGGTGCGGCCAAAAGCAAACACACTGGGAACAGAGTTCATATCAAATAAAAGAAGTGGTAGCTTTGATTTTATTTATTTATTTTTTTTCCCTTGGCAATTTTTAATAATATACCATCCTGCTGCAGAGTACAGGCCATGAGCTGACGGCAAAAATCAAACTTTGAGGAGAGCTTTAGAGAAGAAATCTCCATGGCCTTGCCCTGAATAATATTGCTTTTACATGCTACTGCAAAAAGGAAAAACTAAGCACACAAAATGACATTGAAAAGTAAGGTCGTTTTCTTTCATTACGATACATGCTACACCAAATGCTGATACCATATGAGCATACAGATGCAAATGTTCATCCTGGTTTATTGAACCAAGTTCCTCAGACAAAACTCTGCTGTCTTAGAGTTTGTTCCAGTAAGGGTTCCTGCATTAGTACATATGAACAATACATTTTTAGTACAATTCTACAGCTAGTTATAAAACAGCAGACTGAATTGTATTGTTTCTCAAAGAAGGCAAGCTGTAGCAAAGTGTGTAGTGTCTAGCACATGCCTGCCTGAGGCCTCTACATGCTCCAGTAAATAAACAATAACATTTTTTTTGCTATTCTGGAAATGAAGCATCCACCTGCATAATACCATCTCGTGTATGGAAGGTAAACTTTCCGATATGACTGCCAATTTCTTGGATGCTTAGTTGTAAGCTAGATGGAATATATCTGCAATAAAAGCAAAAGGAGTATGACAGAGAAAAAAGCCAAGCTGAGGATGAACTGAAAGCAGTGAATAACTCAGATATAACTTTTGTTTCTTTCCCCTTTAAATCAAGCCACACAATGAAATCAGTCCCTCTACTTCCTCAATTTAGGGACTTTAAAATGTTGCTTTCATTTTCAGAAATAGATTTGCCAGAAAAGAAAACACGCCATGGTGTCTTGTGATCAAACTTACAATGACTCATGAGCTCCTCCTAGATGAGTTTGGATGGAACCAATAAAAAATCAATAAAAAATCTGCTTGTTCAGTTCAAACATGTCTTGTTTCAAGAACTGATACCTAACCTTTTTGCACTGCTGTACTGTTTCCTATGCTCTGATGTCAATCACTGGCCAAAATTCAATTAGCAGCTGAAGTTTCATTCCAGGTTGCTTGCAATTGCTAAATATGCCTGGAATGCTCCAGTTTTCGCAGCAGGTTAGAATATATGTAATTGAATGGGACGTAAGCAGTAGCATATAAATGCAGGTGGTATGTGCACACGTGGGAAGAGAACCCTGTTGCCTGCATTAACACTTGGAATGATTGACAGAATGCCCTTCTTCAAACTAGTAAGAAAATTCACAGGTTGTTTCTTTCTTCCTGTTAAATCTGGGTCTAAAATACACACACATGCACATATACATGTGTATATACACACATTCAGCAAATCTTTAAAAAGTAAATCAAAGCAAACGTAACAATCTGCTTGTTCCAGCCACCTTCCTCAGGGGAGAAAAAAAAAGAAAGAAAAAAAGGAAGACAGTAAATAGCCCTTTCCTCACACAGAGATTGGGTCTATTTGGAGTCAAGTTGAAAAAAAATGGAAAGATTTTATGCATTGAAGTTTTTGTGGCCTGTATTTGAGCCAAAGTAGATAGTAGGCTTGTTCATGTCCAATCTAAAGAGATTATGTCCTGTGAAATCCAAAAAAAAAAGATTTTTCTACCTGTCAACACAGTTGTCATCTTCCAAGACAGATGTAATGAACATTGGTGGGATGTGTTCTGCTTTCTCCTTGTAAACTGCATATTCAAAGCGTGCTGGCCTCAAATACAATAGGAACTCACCAAAACCCATTTCCCTTGCAAAATACTTATATAACCTAGAAATAGAAACACATAGCTGTATTTGAAACATTAATTTTCTTTCTGGAGAGCTTTTATGCTGTAAGCAATACATACCTAGAAGTCTACACCTATCAGATTCATTTTAATCAGACAACTGCATTCAAATTAAAGGCTTCCTTGGCATCTGAAATAGTATGAGTTACGAAGCAAACAAGCACTATAACCAGATAGCTCGTGTTTGCTTAGTATTGACCATTCAGTTGACACAGACAGCACTTACAAAGGACAAGAAGTCAAGATTTTACAGTGTCATAAGGGGAAAAAAAAATCAAAGAAAACATGCTAGATGTCACTATTTACTGATACAGCATTTAGCAGAGATGAAGAATATACTTTTCAACTGAAAATTGGGAAGAGGACTGACTGTCAGAGAGGAAGTTTCAACAGTCAAGGCAGAGCTCAGACACTTTACTACGAAACCGTGATTTCATAACCTAAGAAATCTGTACTGTAAAAGCCCCCAGCATGACACAACCTCAATAAAAAACCCTCAATATAACAAATTACAAGGACAGTCCATCAGTAGAGAGTAAACATGAAGGTCCACATGCAACCACTAGCTCAGGAATTCCCTGAGGCGCTGTGTGCCAGAAGCAGGACACTGTCCTCCTCTTTATATTCCCTACCTAAGGATCCATGCCTGCAGTCTCCCAGAGGCAAGACACAAATACCAATCTGGGCCATAGTGACTGTTCTTATATAGCATAAAAAGATGGCAAAAAGAAAAGCTTTGACATTTTCATGCAGAGTGCAAAGGGATAAGATACTCCTTTACTTCCTCCTAAGAACATAAGAACATCTTTATCAATCAAGAAATCAGGTCACAGAGAAGGTACTTTGTGAGTTATTTTATGAGAGTTCTTAGTTCTCTAAAATCAGGTAGCATTTCCTGCCTGCAAAATAAGAGACAGAAAAAGGGAGAAAGAAAAAAAGAATATATAAAATACATCATGCATATCAACAGGCATGATGTACATGTGGAGCACAGCCAAAATTAGCTCTGAGGTCCTAAAGCAAAGAGTTCCGTATAATTATTACAAATGTTGCTCTTTTCAATGACCAGTATGAACATATAAATAGCCTACATAGTACTGACACGAGCAAACTAGTTTATTAATGCTGTCCAAAGAGAATAAAAGTTTTAAAAAAAGATATTAAAAAAGATATTAACAAGGTGAATATGTCAAAGAAAAACAAAAGAGAATCAAAAATCAGATGAAAGCTGTCTATCTCTACTATTCCATGAAATTATGTTCCTTTTTATCGGGTGGTAGAAGATAAAGGCAATTTTTGGAGAATACCGAGGAACAAAGAGAAGCAACAAAAAGCTATATGGAACAGTGTATATACATATACAGTGTGCATATACATTAGGTCTAAATACCCTTCTACTTGGGAATGGACAGACAGGCAAGTAATGGCAGTAATTCCAGCAAGTCCCCTCAAAAGACAAATAGAAGCTGTCGTATGAGATAGAGGAATCCATAAATGTAGCTGCCATCATTTCTTTACACTGTGCATAGCATGAAAAAGATTAACAACCTTTCCAAAGTTTCAGTCTGAACTCAGTCTGTAATAGTTTATATTCTAACAAACTGCAAACTTCACAACAACAAAGGAAGACGCAAAATTAGCCCCCCAAAATGTCACAAAGAACAAATTACATATATTTATACTAGTATTTAGATTGATTTCATCATCTTCTATTAACTGAAGAAAACGTTATGGTTAATAGGCTTAGGTAAGATATTGTAACATCTTTTATTTTGTTTTAATTCCCATCTTTTACTGGAACACTGACAATTTATTGCTACTTTTTATGGATTGCTCGATATGTCATCTTAGATGTTTATGCCTTTCTTAGCCCTGCTTCCAAAGGAAATGCAAATATGCAACAACAGTATCTGCTCATCTGTCTCCTTTGAATTACTTTTCAACCAGTTGGTGAATTGTAATGAAACCTGATACAGCGGGAAGGCTTTTCAAGATATTAAGTTCCTACAGGCTTCATGAAAACAGGTGACTGGATATTGGTTTTCCAACTAAAGGAAAAATTGCAGACTATAGTGCGTGAGCATGTATCTATGTGCATGAAAAAAGGAACACAGAGATGACTCAACTGCCGGAAAAAGTTTAATCAGAATCTGCATTTTATTAGACTACAGCATAATCAAACACAAAACAAAAATTACAAAGAAGCCAAACCTTGTTCCATGGAATTACGTGGATTAAGTAAATTTACTTTTTTTGCCCAAGAATGTTCCAAATATCAAAGCATGTTTAAGAATGTATTTTAATAGGGAAAAAAAACCAAAAGAGTTGTGATAGAAAACAAAGTTTTCCCCAGACCAAGTTTGAATTGTCAGTGCTCATATATATTAAATGTTTAAGTCTTTAGCTAGTGAAAATAAATGTTTCTGAATTCTTGATTTTGAGTCTCAATTTTCAAGAAGAAAACTAGAGAAAGGGTTAAGAGAAGGGGAAAAATACAACTGCCACCCACACACAACCCTGCTTTTACAATCAATCATGCCCCACAAATCCATTTCATAAAAGAATCAAACTCCATTTTAAAACTTGGTTAATTTTCTACCCTCTGCTCTTTTCTTTCCAGACCTGTGCTATCTGATTCTTAGAAATGTCCTTTTAATTTCCAGCTTAGATTTATTCATAGTGATTTAGATCCATTTGTTCTGCTGACAAAATTGGCCTTTAACTTAAATAGCTGCTCTCCATGCCCAGAGCTTATCTTCCTGATGTATTTATAAGAGACAATCCTATCTCCTCCCCAGCCTAGGGTAAATAAGTCATTTCATTTGCTTTTGCCAAATGCATTCTTGGTTTCCCCTCATCCTCCTATTAGGTCATTTAGGTCATTTCTGCTTCCATTCCAATCTCTCCTGAACAAAATCTCTAAATTATATGAAATTATGCATGTGAAACCTTACCAGCACCACATTCAAGGGCATCTCTCCTTCCTCTACTGGAAACCTGACTCTTTGCCTGATTCGCACTGAAGTATCTTTATTTCCCATCACCACCACCCCAAACGCATACACGTGTTATATAGGCAGTTTACAGTCAGACAGGGGCCAATGATACACCCAACTCCTTCTCCCTTTCCCTGACTTACAGCTAAGAAGCAGAGTTCACAGCAATATTTCCTATACATAACCTTGAGCTTTGTGCTGTTGAAGCTTATCTCATTCCTGTTATCCCTGTGCTTAGAACCGTGAGCTCCTCCTGCAATATTGTTTCTTTCCCATATGAGCTTTATCTTTCCGGTTTTAGCAACACCCTCTCCTGCTTTCTAGTCAGCTCATTAATAAAAAATGTCAAATAATATGGAACCAAACACGAGGAACTTCTCCAGCAAGTTGTCTCCCAGCCACTTGTTCAGCACTATCCTTTGTAGGCTCCCCCTTAGCCCTGCCTTCATCTTCTTCAGCTTCCTGTACAAATTATCATCTTTCCCAGCTGATGTGATTGATAATTTCCCAAGTGATACTGCAGCGACTTCCCTTATCTAGATTACTTCATTATCTTTGCAAACATCAGCACAGTCAGAACAATTTTTATATTTTCCTATATCTGTTAGTGAATAAGGCAGTGGACTGTATTTCTTGTGTGCCTTTTATAAGAAGGCAGTTAATTGTGTAAAATTCTAGGAAAAAGAAATTTTCACATCAGTTTTGTCAGTGAATTCTTCTAGTTCCTCCTCCTCTTGACTAAACTGGAGCAGGATCAGAAGACTCATTTTCACTGGGCAAAGCGCCAGTCCCGATAAGGCTTGCAGAGCAGCCTGGCAAGTGATTTGTTTCTCAGTTTTTGAAAATAACCAACATCTTCAAATCCTGGATAGACTCTATTTCCACAAAACAAGCAAATATATGTCTCACAACACAAAGGCATGCTCTCTTACCCATTCTTTTTTCCAATTCTATTAGAAGTCACTGGTGTCCTATAAACCACACTTCTCTTAGGGCACCGTAGCTGAAACAAACAGCCCTAGTAACCCACTAACCTGGCTCACTGCGCGCTCTCCGTCGCCACCTCTGTCAGCCGATGGCAAAGTGTCACAAGCTTCAGGATCATGGAAAAGGAATCTAGGACAAAGAACCATTTTTCTCTGATTTCCTTTCTTTCTTCATCTGCTCCCTGCTCCAATAGTGACAGGGCAAACTCTTTCACCAGCTCAGGGTCCTCTATCAGCACCTCTGCAAATAACTGCAGGGAAGGGAATAAAAGAAAATACAGACATCACCTACATACAAAATGGCAATGATCTTTAAATATTTTAAGGGCCCATGCTCCTCTTCTTTTTTCTAGGGTAAATCCCAATTGGAGTTGCTCTGATTTGCAGCCCATACAAGGTCTGAAGGGGGCCCACCATAACCTATCCTGATCCCTAGAAACATTCTGGAGTCCTACCACTTGCTTCAAAGGTAGAGACACTAAAGAGGCAGAGGAAGGGAAAAGTGGAAGCCCTGGGAGAAAATGCCAAAAGCTGCAGCTTGGGAAGGTGGAGGAAAGAAGAGCAAGGCCCATCGGCTGCTGTGCTGTGGAAGCGATGGCAGGAGCAGCTCTGTCACAGATTATAGGGTTATTTAACCCTGTGCACATCAGGCAGGATACGGACATGGCCCCTATAAGGGAACGGCTTCACTCCATGATGTTTATGCTGAATGAATCACAGAACACGAGGAACCCAGAACCCAGCCATGCAGTTATTAGTAATAAAGTCTAGATTTCAACATATGCCATTTGTTACATCTTCAAAGCTACACTTAAAAAAAAAGAAAGGACAACACCCGAAGTTAAGTGTCAGAAATTATGCAACTTTATTTTGTACCTCTTCCCTAGTACTTTATAATATACTTCTGTAATTATATGACTCCATATGGGTGGGACATGGTAACTCATCTTTACATGCCCATCTTTACAGGGCAAGGACAATAGCATGCCCCCTATTTCCAAAGAGGATAAGAAGAGTAATAAGCTTAAATTGTAGTGAGGCAGATCTGTATTAGACTTTAAGGAGAACTTGCTGACACTAAAGTTAGTGAAACACTAGAACAGATTGCTTGGAAGAGTATTGTGTGATGTGTTTAAGAACAGGATAGGTATCTCATAGGAAGAGAGCTGTAGTGCTGATCCTGGCTTGGGCTGAGAGGGGAAGACTTCTGAGCCTCTCGAGGATCATTTGGCATTTATAATTCCAGAATCTGCTTTTCTTTTTATATGATACTTGCTATATTTCTGCATAGGCGATGTACTAGGCAGGCAGTATCTTTGCCACATGCCTGGGTCGTTTGCTTGTTTTCATCAAAGTATGCAAAAGAAGTCCAATTAAAAACTGCACTGGCAAAGGTAAATTTCCTAAAATGCAAATGCCTGATTTTACAAGCTAATCACTACTTAACATGTTACTGCACACATGTTTTTGTCATATCCTGAGCTTCTGATGGAGGAAAAGGAATGGGGAAAATGTAAACACAACAAACCCCTCCCCTTTGCCCCAAGCATCAGCAGTGCTGTGGCTTTCATAACCACACACAAAGCTATGCCACTAATTTTGGGGATTTAAAAATAAAAAGCAACAAATTATCTGTCATATGCAACATGCAAGAGTTGGATGGGACAGCCTGTCACTAGATTTTATTGGCATCAGAGAGATAAGTGACTTTGGGATTTTGCTCTAGAGCAAGGAGGAGTGTGTCTGAGGTGGCTGTGCCCTATTGTCCTCAGCTTGTACCTGTGTTCCCTTACCTATCACTGACTTTGCAGTCTCTTCATCTACCCAGTGCTGTCTCCATGCCTCAAACTTCTCATTTTCATCCCAACCTCTCATTTTAATCCCAATCCAACTTCAGCTAATGTTCTCCTGACAGGTATGTTGCAATTGCAATTTTGATGTTATTTTAGGTTGGCTAAATTTGGAAGAAATAAAAGCATAGTATATGGCTACCTAATGAGTCTTCCCGCATTTTAAAGGTGTACTCCAAAGGCATATTACAATCTTGTAGAGAAAGGAGCTAAATCATTTATTGTCCATATCTTGCTCTCAGAAACCAATAAACTGGCTAATAAAAAAAATCAATATCTGATTGATAGAGACATTTAGCCTAGATATTTCATTCAGAATAATTAGCATCTATTAAAATTATAACCAGCCAAATTCATGGAAATTGTGGACATTGCAGTAATAAACAATTCCCCGTTTAATAACATTTGCTTTCCTGGCCAGTCCTCTGTTTTGTAAACAGTACACACAGGCAAACACAAAGCCTGGAGACTGTGTTCTCACACCAGTTTTAGAGTATGCATCTTCCTTCTTACTAAGCTGACCATCCATATTTCATTCTGGTATGAGATTAGAAGAGTTTTACCATTCCGTTATCTCTTATAGAAAGAAAAAAAACTTATTTTAAAGCTGGGAAGAATTAACCTACATCAATCTTAATCAAATAACAGATGTTAAAAATTATACAACTAAAATTTTAAACAAAAAGCATAACTGGTTTAGTAAGATCTCAGTCCTGGGAACTCCGTAGTAAATAGTCATTAGTCACATAAGCAGAAAATAGAACTTAGATCTTTTTGAATTTGAGAGCTGTAAAAATATTCTGTTTTTCCCATAGCTAGCCACTCATCCACTGCTAGCCCAAGCACTTGTTTTTGTAGGTTAGTTGCTTCACTGGTTGTTTTTGGTCTAAGGATGTTGCAGAATTCCTGGTGGATGTGCTCAAGAGCTTTGGGGATGACACACACGAGATCAAGAGAAGGGTGAAACTCCAGCAAGTAAATGTTCTTCGAAGTAGAACTTAACAATAAAAAAACTAAACAGAAACAGACAGATATCAGTTTAATTAACATCACCCCACCACAGGAAAATTCTCCTATTTTACAAGCCGCTAGCACTTCAAGATAGAAAGAATAAATATTTCTCAATAGATGTTGGAGATGTAGGGCAATCTTGCAATTGCTTAATTGCAGTAACGAATTACAGTTACTTTAGCTGTAGCTCAGAAATCAATCAACAAATCTGACAATAGAACCAAAACCCTAATAAATATAATTATGTTGGAACACATCTAAGTACTTTCATTTGCTACTGAAAACAGAAATGTTTCAAGTTCTCATTTGCCAGTTGACCTCTTTTACTAACTATATTTTTGTGTCTATTACATGCACCCATTAATAATATTAAATCTGGAAAATAAGCCCTCAGACAACCATCACAAAATAAAAGAGGAAGGGAGGGGAAATGCGGGCAAGTGGTCTTAAAGCAGAGAGGTTCAAAAACAAGTTGCTCTTGGCTTCTACTAGAGTATTATCCGATAAGTAAATCCTTCCTATAACCCCCAGCTCAGTTGTTGCTCAGTTGCAAGATGTGGAATATGGGGCAGATCTGTGCAATATGTGGATTATACATGTGCAAATACCAAACATATATATCCAAACAGGCAAGTGTGCTAGAATTAATAACAGGCTATGGCCAAAGGGCATTGAAAGCCACAAAGCCGTGTCAGAATACTGATGCTGCCAGTGTAAAGCTAGATTAACTTAACTAACCACTTTCATGGTTCATGGTTGCTGTTTAATATTCTACATTCATTAGGAATACTAATTTCCCAATACAGTGCAAGATGAGATAAGAAAATCCACTGTCAAGAAAGAAGGAGGGGAAAAACGATCATTTTTCTTCCTTGGATATTTCTCTGACAAATCCAAAGCTGCATGAAATAGCATCTAATGTAAGACATTTATCTATTGCTTGATTTGTTATTTTTTCAAAAAATCTTTCTTTCAGGTGCTAGATTCCAAATTCTTAGGATCAGCTGTAGAAGCTAGGCCAGAAAAAAATACTCTCTAGATAAACAAATCTCCAGAAGTACTCACCAGTTATTATCAAGAGAGATAAGTTGCTTAGTAATCACATTATAGGGAAGTCCAAATTCACTGATTCAACCTTTCTGACCTTCCCGCCAAACCTTGCGGATATATTCCCTCTGAACATCTATCTGAAAGTCAGTAGAAAACGTAAGTGACAATTAGCTAATAGAATTCAAGCTTAGCTAGAAATCAAGCCAAAAACTCCTTAAACACAAGCAGCATAAATTATATATATACACACATATATATTACTCCTATACATAAAAAATCAAGCTAATTATACATGTACCCACTTTAGCCAAATTATTCCTGATAAAATTCTTTTGAAATATCGCTTCAAAGCAAAATCTGAGCTCCAAATGTCAATAATGCTCCATTTTTATTGCTAAGAATATGTTAACATCAGTGGCAACAGCAGCATAACAAGAGGCTCCTCAACTGAAACCGAAGCATCCATTTGCAGACTGCAAGCCTTGTTACAGAGATGAGCTAGCTCAGCTTCCTAACCTGGGAAATCAAAGTTCAGAGAAAGGAAATAACTTGTGCAAGGATGCAGATTGTAAACCAGTGAAAAAAAACTTCAGATTTCAGTGTGGTGCTTACATTATTAGCTATCTGAAATACACTGCTTTTTGAAGTGCACTTTAAAGTACAAACATTGTTTACATTGTCTTTACAGAGAGACACCAGTTAGCTCCTTTTTCCACCGCACTGCAGAGCAAATTACATTATATTCTAATTTTATTAAGCTTCCACACCTCTCACGTACTATTTCTTTCTAATGGACTCAAATGATAGCAGATGAGGTTTTAAAGAAATATATGAAGCTCTGCAATCTTGCCAACATCACTTAGTGATATTAATGAAATTATAGCCTTCTGCTCTTCGTTTTTAGGCCTTCATTTTAGACAGCATCTATACACTTTATTGTTAAATTAATATTGAGTGCTGTAAACCAATGCACGCTGTAATTAAAAATTCCCACTCTGGATTTCACTCCCCACTGCCCCAAGATGGATATACTATGAACTCATCCTACTTGCTGGTTTACTATGTCCCTCAGCAGCTGTGAAGGTATGAAGGTGAAGCTGTAAGCAGGTGCATTCTGCAGTTCTGCAGGTGTTTACAAAATATCCAAGCTTAAAATCAAATTGTGGACGTTTGTGGATGATGTCAACTATTGCTTGGGCTAAAGCAAATCTTTCTTCAGGATCTGAGGCATGTTGGTAACCTTCAAAATAAATATCTAGAAGCCGAAGATATATTCAGAAGCATGTTTATTAAGCCAAATATTCATTCTTTGTTAAAGAAAGATTTCTGAACATGGAGGCTGCATCAAACAAATAGCCCCAAAAGTAACAGGGAATCTTGTTTCTGGCACATGCTATTTATTACTGCATGTTTCAAGAGCAGACTCAAGAACAGATTATAACCTGCCCACAAGATAAATTTCTTTCAAATCTTGCATAGTTAACAGATTTTTCTACTGACATATGAAGATTTTTCCCTTGAAAAATAACACAGCAAGGTCCTTACGAGTTTAAAAGCATCTACTTCTTTAGTACTCTGTGTTTATTTCAGCAGACACAGGGGCTTCATGTTTTTGAAAAAAAAAAAAAAAAGAATCCATTTCTCACCAATCTGAAACCTGCAGACTAATCCCAGACTGTTATCTCAATTGGTAATGACTGTTACTTTTTTTTTGGGGGGGGGAGAGAAATACGGCTATTAAGAGCAATATAATTAAAGATGTGCAGAGGCAGATGTCCTCTTCAGACTCCTCTGCCAAGAATAGCTGTAAAGATTTATATAAATAAAAATTATAATTACAAACACCCGCAGCTTACTACAGAAAAAGAAACATGCCCACTATGACACCATGTGAACAGAGGAGGAGATGTTGCAGTACTTCTTCCTCAGCTGGTAAGTATGGAATTGAAGATATGTATTCCAGTGCCATTGCTCCTGGACAAGCAGGTTTTAGCGACGTGAAACAATCTGCACCCAACTACTTTGCAGGGACACAGGAATAGAAATGCATCCGCATTCTTCCCATGCTGAGACCAGAAATGGTGGAAGTGAAAGATGCAGAATGGCTCAGAGGAAACTCAGTATGTGCAAGTTCAGATTACAGTGGAAACCAAAATTGGTTCCTCTGATTCAGATCTGCCTGACCTGAACCCTTCTGGACACAGTTAATCCTGTGCTTGAGCAATGGGGCATAAGCAAGGGTTTCATTAGCGAGGCTAAGCAGTCTCAGCTGCTAAACAAAAGACTATTGTTTCATCCTCCAGGAAGAACTACATCCCAGATGGAAACTCTGGACATGAAACGGCAAAACTAGGGAGACCAAATTCCATCTAGTCTAAACTAAAAGCAAAAGACCTCCAGGAACAGCACATCTGCACATTGAATCCTGCCTAGAGAGCCGGGTGTGCGAGTAGCTCCAGAATAAATGCTTTGATGTCTTGGGAAGAGAACTGGTGCATTGTGGCTGTGGGAGATTTATTCTTCTCTACTGGGATTTTTTTCTTCCAAAATGAAAGCAAGTTTCTTTATATGGAAAGTCTGTATCTAGCCATGAAAAAAATACAAAGGGTAGATTTGCAGAGGTAACATGATCCAACTGTTATAGAAAGGGAGGTCTATTGGGATGACAGCAGAAATTTAGTGAACTAGGCAATTGGAGAACATTTTATTTAGCTCTGCTGCACAAAGCTCCTCTTTGAGAAAACAGAGGGGGGCCTTTCGAGACTTTCTAAATGGCATACAACTATTTTAGTTTAAAAGGTTTCCTATTTAGAGGCTCTTCAGCAGTAGGTTGAAGATTCCCTAACACCCTCTGGCTTTCCTATAATCAGAACTGCACTGTGCTGCCCCTGGACCAAGAGCAAAACATTTCAAGCTTATGAAAATCTTAATTAGTGTCATTTCTCCCTTCTTGTGAAGTGGTCTTCCTGATCCATGACACTTCCTGGCACTCACAGCACTGTCTTAGGGAAAGGTGACTCCCATACGTAGAAATAGAGATCCAGGCTCCTCTAGGGCTCTTGAACTGGTCTAACATTCACCTTTCAGATGGAACTCTTTGAGGAGAAAACTATCATCATACTCAGCAAAATACAGACACTTCACTAGGTTCAGAGAGAGGAAAGCAAAGGCCTGCAGTCTGCGCAGGAGCCCTAGCAAATGACAAAGCTCTTAATAACCATTTTTAGTGAATGAGCTACTCCATACTAAGTCATGGTATTTTCTGTTCTGGTAGACTAACTAGCAAAAAGAATCTCTATTTTATATATATATATATATATATGTTTACACACAAATACACACACACATAGGTTATATTAAGAAATATTTTCTCTGGTCCTGCTCTGACAAAGGGATAGGCCTTCAGCCTGAGTCTCTTCTACTTGAGCTTCCCAAAGGCGCAATGATGACAATTCTAATGTCAACCATAAAATGCTCTCTGCAACAACTCCAGACAACAGGGACAGTCAGGACCACAAGAAAAAAAGGTGCAGCAAACTTCTTGGTAGCCCAGCCTCCTTAGAGCTGGATCTAACTTTTCCTAGCCTGCAACTACTCCATTCCCTGGCATGTAAGCGAGGGACCTTCTCAGTCATCCTTCACACTGATGGGCTGTTCTCATCACAGCCTTGAGAACTGCTTCCAGTCATCGGCACAACAGCTTTGGAGGCCACTGCCATCAACAAGGGTGTTTCTGCTCCCTCAGTACAAAAGCCACTATGAGGGTCCCGTGGACTCATGGCACCCAGCAGCTCTATCCCGCTGTGCTCAGTCCAGCCCCAAACAGGCATTCAATGTGTTTGAAACCCATACCAGCTCCCACATCTGCTGCCTCTGGCATTTGTATACATTCACAATGGGAAATGCTGCTGCAAAAAACCTGGAAAAGAACTGATCAGAAATCATTGCTTTCAGAGCAAGGAGAGCTTCTGTACCTGACATTTTTTCTCCAAGAGAACAGTTTCACAAGTCCAGAGGTCAAGCAGCACTGCAAATTGATCCACAGACACATGGGCCCAGCTAAGAAGGTTGCTACCTCTCAGCTGACCGCAAGTTACATGGCCTAGGACAAAAAATAAGCAGGCAGCAGGTATCTCTCAGAAAAACATCTACATCAAATGTCCATTAGTTTGTTGGGGTTTTTTGTTTGTTTAAGAAAATTAACAGCTCTTCTCAGTATAAAGCTACCATCTGTCATTGGCTTACCTTAGCAACCTTACACTGTCTCCCTACAGCGCCTCCGCAAAGAGCATGTTAGAAGCAGTGTATATCTGTTGATGAATATCACTAATACAATGTAATGAGAACACTGATGATGATACTAAAATTGGTATGACCATACTTTTAAATAATTCAGGCTTTTTGTCTCCCTAATTTCTACACTTGTGCAGCACTAGCAGTTCACCAGCTCTTCCAGATGACCAGTTCAAATTTCCTTTTAAAAAGAAAATCTGACAAAACAGAAGCAGATGTCAGGATCAGAGTGATTTTCACATTCCTAGAGTCCCAGGGCTTGTGGGAATTCTTTTGAATTATAACACTGAGTTTTGGTTTGTGCTTTCCAGTGAGCCCAAGGCCAGGAAAAGATTTTGTCCCACAAGCTTTAGAGGGCCCCAGAATATAGTAAAAGGCAAAGAACAAGTGCACTGGGCACGTGATTTAAGCATCTCCTCTCATCTACCTACTTTTTAACAAATATTCCTCGAGGTAAAATGCAGGGGCAGAGTACAGAGATCTGCATCAAGGGCAAAGCCAGAGAAAGCACAAGAGAACTCACAGAAAAGATGCTTATTTTTTCATGGCATCAAATCATATTGAGATGATCTTCAACTCCTCATCTTCAGATTCAGATCAAAGAAAATCAGTACAGACTACTCAAATAAAAATTTCACAAAATATATACAGAACAGAGTGCAGAGGACGGCTTTTACTTTCAAAGGGCTTTATTAGCCAGTTAAAAGTCAATCTCTATAATCTAAAAATGACTATGAGGAAGGAAAAAGATCACTACAAATATTTTTGTACTAACAGTCCACGAGTAATTCTTTAAGAAATAATGATTTTGCTTTTTGTTTGTGCTTTCACTTCTTAACAAAATGACACAATTGGATAAAACAGTCTGCATAATTTGTATCTGCTTGTGGCCATTCTGGCTGGAACTGGTGCTATTATCTAAATCACAGCTAACTTTGACAACAAATGATAAATCAAGTAGATCAGATCTGAAATATTTAGAACTGTAGAGTCAGCCATGGTAGGCTTCAGCAGTTACTCTTCAGCTCCATCCTTAAAGTGTCATCTTTTCATTCAAAAGTTGGACAAGACAGTCATTTGAACTCCATGATTATTGAAGAAGTCAGCATTAAGAACCTTCATGTCCATTGCAGTTGAGCTTACTGCTTCTTCAGCATGTTTTTTCCCTAGTCACCACTAGCAAAAAACTATAAGAGGAAGGAGTATAAGGAGCTAAGACAGGTTAGACCTCAAGTAGACTCAAGTGCAAGACCCTGTTAGACCTCAAGTGAGCATGATAACAGTGACCTATAAACAGAGGAACTGCTATATCAGACTACCTCATTTGGTAGCCTGTCTCCTAAAAGAGTTACGGTGGCACAGACGAAGACTCTAGCAGATATTATGCATTCACATGTCTATAATGAAAAATAAATTTTAGTCATCCTAGTGTTTTGCTATGTCTTGCATTGTGTGTACACACATTCAATTTTAAGAATGCATGCCAAAACTTCAAAAACATCCTATCAAAACAGAAAGTCATTCTAGTGATTTGAGAAATATTCTCTGCAGTTTTCTGAATATCATGCATGTATATGCCATTTATTCATGTTCTGTAATGGCCATCTCCCCTTACTTTCTACTATTACTTGCTCCATTCTTTTCAGTAGTCTGAAAGCTCAACTGCTCTTTTGAGAATAAATTTTTAATCCAGTTTGCCACAACTCAGTTCCTGCAATAAAAATAGCTCATAGGGAAAACAATCATCTGCAGCATTGAATAGTTTGCAGTTTTTTTTCTGAGAATACATTAGAACTGGTGGGAGGTAAATTTAATCATGCAGAAAAAAAGCAGTCTGATATACTTATTAAAAGAAGTTCAGAAACAATTAGCATTTTTCTTTTCAGACTTCTCTGTGCCTTGAATATGTGCATACTCACTGTGCTACTTAACTACATCAGTAAATGTCCTTTCTGTGTTATTTTCCCCTCTAGGATGACTTCAACATCTATGACGCTGAGTAAGTGCACAACTGTGACATTAACAATATGTGACAAATAATACCACATGCTCAAATATCACATTCATCATTCAACTAACTAGGAAGAAAAGTCCCAAACATCTAATCAGAACTCGGTCTTTCTGAAGTACACTGTCAATTTAAGAAGTCACAGTACCAACCTACCTTGAAAACAACAAAACAAATTACCACAGTGTTTTGGACCTGTAGATAACTTACTTCTTTTATCTTTCTCAATATACTGGCTGGTCACAAGGAGCAGCTGGTGCCCAAGCTCTTCCGGGTCCTTTAAAGTCATATCATATATTATATAAGCCCCTCACGGGTCCTGTGTGTGAATATATCCACATTCACTGGTATAAAAGTCATTGTGCCTGCAATGACTTTTCGACCCCTGCAAACTGCACAAACTGAGCGCTATGGACCTATGCCATGAAAAAATCGCAGAGACATGGAGATACAAGAAGTCAGTTTTACAAAGGTTGCAATTCTGTATAATCAACATAATTAAGAATGGACCAGGCCTAAGAGCATAACATTTTGCCACTAACAAGGAACAATAAAATAAAATATAGTTCCCCTCCTTTTTTTTACAGGTAAGCTGCACTACATTTATGTTATCAAGGAGTGACAAAACCTGTATGAACTTCTGTCGTGACCACTTTTTCCTTCAGGCTTCTAAATCTACATAATTATCCAGGGGGCATCAAAGCTGGTAGATTAGCTCTTGAGGCTTGAGGTAGAACCTTTTTTCCCCTTTTTAAAATTGGTACACATTTGTCAAAACTGTCCTAATGTTGACATTCAGATGTAATGTAGTCAACACATTTTTAAAGTCTTTTGCATAAGTAACACTTACAAGATTTGAAGATGAATGCACACAAGCAAAGATCTCAGCATTAATTATAAAGAACACCCAATGACTGATGTCCCAAATTACTGTGAAGTCAGCATTCGCTCAATAGGATAGATCTTATCTAATAGGATAGCTTCTAAAAACCATCAACATCTTTAAAAGAAAGCCACCCACCTCGGCACTGAATGGCTGCTTAGCTTGTTAAACCCCAGGGATGATCTCAGTACCATGGTTAATGGAAACCGCATTAACTTTCAGGATTCCCTATTTCTTTATGACACTGAGTGCCATAAAGGGAATTACACACGCCTGCTTCAAGCTATATAATTACAGAAGTCAATCTCCTAACAAACTAACAAACTCTTAGTAGATGAGTTTAGCAATACAAGCCTTTAAAAATGACTACTGTAAGTTGATGGCAAATAATTACAAGCTCCTAGCTTTCCCACTGTCCCCAGCATTACCCAAACTTTACCTGATAAATGGCTGTCCCTTAAAACTGTATTAGAGAAGGGATGAAGAAAAGGAAAAAATGTTCATTTTAGTCAGAAAAATCCTAGCAGTCATAGCTCACAAACTGCATAGACCTATGGTGGATCAGAATTCCTTCTTTACCAAAAAGTTAGTACAGCAACCCTGCAAAAATATGTCTTTCTTGAACACTGTGTTAGATGAACCTGGTCAGCCTGGTTCTGTACTCTTTGTTCCTTCCTTCTTCTTCTGAACAGAATATTTACTTCACTGCTCTGAGTGCCAGGGAGCAAAATTGTTGAAGCCTTTTCCAGAAGAATTAAATTCATTTATGTAAATAATTGAGCAAATATTGTGCTGACTTTGCCATAACAGATAGAAGAGCGAAGAGGGTTGAATTTTTTTCTGTATCGTTTTTAAACAAAAATGGTAAATACTAATTGAAATGCCTCCACTTCAACATCTTGAATTCTTAGTGATTCTTTCTCTATTCCATTCCTAGAGAGTTCAGTAAGGACTATTGCATTCTGCAGAAGAGACATAAGTTTATGTAGCTGAAGAGTTAAAAAAATAAAACCAAGAGGAAGTGAAAACTAACTCCCCATCATGTTTGTTTTGGGAGCCATATACCATGCATGCCCATGAAAAATGTTAATACCACAGTTACATGTCTACACCAACAAATCAAGAAGTTAGGCATTACATGCCATTTTATTTGTCTCCAAGTTTTGTTTTTCCTTCTCTAAATCTGCTCAGATTTACTGTGGCTTAACAAATTTCCTTTGGGTTATAAAGCAATATTCATGCTCTTGCATGTATTTTATCTGCTTTCTTCCAAGCTGAATCTTAAGATGGGACAAAAAAAAAAGAGTTTAAAATTTATTTTGAAGTATTCCAAGGCTTTCCATATTCCAGTGCTTTCCATTCTAATACTGGAACTCATATCTCTAATGATCTCCATCCCAAACAGTCTACTAGTGAGGATGGGAGACTTGCTTACAGTCTAGGATACATTTATTTATTGATGAGTCACCACATCAGCTCAAAGCTTACAATTTTGAGAGATTTGTAATGCATACAGTCATCCAATTTTTGATATAGATTAGGTGCTGTAAGTATTTAACCGAACAATACCATATGCTCCCAGTTTATAGCACAAATCAGAGAGCAAGTTAGAAAGGTCTCACCTAGTTTGCCAGGAAAATGGCTCTGTTATAGTTCTTGAGATACAGCCTGTGCAATATATTAAAAATCCACAATGCATTAGAAACTGTTGTTAAGGAAATAGTAATGCCCGTGCTTCTAAATACACTGCCAATTAAGCTGTAATTGTATTAGTTAATATTTATCTATGCCTTAGTTGAAGTTCAAGCTTATATATCAGTGACCACGTATTAGCGTGGGGGAAAGAGAAGCCTTTGTGAAATGATATCTCATTGCTAGGAGCTCTCTGAAGTATTCAGCAGCTAATCTCCAAATCAAAGCATGCTGGGATAGAAGATCAGAATTGATCTTTGCATGATTTCTCCCACTTTGCAATAGATAAAATGGAAGTAAAATAAAGACATATTACACAAAGCAACACAATCAGAAAAATAGTTTGCCTTTTCTCTTTCCAGTGAGACACATTTCTCATTTGAAAGGGTAATTTTTAATTACTTTTTCTGATTTTAAAATTTGATGTTGTTGAGTCATCAGCAGTATTTCCTAAGTGGAAAATCCCCCCTTTTTTTTTGTTCCAAGCAGCTTTTCATCTAGGAAGTTTAATTGTCTGGATTTGCAAAACAAACATTGCCAAATTAGACATAAATTACTTTATAAAATATGAGCTATCCCACATCTTCCTCACATTTTATTTTTAAAGAGTCTTAGACTTTTTTCGCATTTAGCGACAGGAAGTGGAAAGCCTAGTTCCTTTTTAATTCTAGCCATAATCCTCTCATGGAGTAGTTCATGTGGTTGGTTTTGGTGTTTCTACAGCAAAAAAAAAAGACAAGTTTTCAGTAACTGAAAAATAAGCATGAACTCAAAATGTTGGGAAAAAAAAAAAGAAACAGATTAGTATGCTATTGTGCTTCTTCAGAGGTTTTATATAGACTTTTGTATGACTGGTCAAGGTCCTCTCCACAGACCTGAAGTAGCTGAGAATCCCCAGGCAGACTCACTGAAACAAACATACCATTGCATTTGCAGCTGGGTGACTGCTCCTTCCTTAAAGTATTCACTCCAATCTATGCAGAATTTATGTCATTTTATCTTTTACCTTTAGCTCTTGGAGTCTCAAGTGACACAGGTAAAGAAGCGACAAGTAGGCTCCTTTCCTCAGCACATGCTCCCTGCTCCAACCTCTGTTCCTTCCTCTAGTCCCAGCAGCTGAAAGGTCGTATACTTATACACTTTTTTCCAGAAAGGAAAAATGTAATAATCACATTATTGTTCCTCGAGATGAATTCTAAACTTCTCTAACATGAACAGCTTCACTATATCTGTTATCCAAATGGATGCTACTGCCTACAGGACTCACTGTCATGGAAATACAGAGTCATAGAACCTACAGTATAAAGTTAAAGAAAGAGAAAAGAGGTCAGAAATTCTTCTTCCAGGTTTTATTATATATATATGCATATACATATAAAAACAGATGTTTACGCTCTTTTGTTCTTCTTTCTGACGGATCCTGGAAGCTTCCCAGGGTTAGCACTTCCTACATACCCCCCACTGTGAGCCACAGCTGCTTTATCATCTGCAGCATTGAGTTCCTAGTTCCAGCACACATATTTAAAGATTGGTTGGGTGAGTATGCATATTGCCATACTGGTCAGATCCATAGTGCAACTCGTTGTGAAATTACTGTGCCATATATCGCCATGATATTTGATTACTTTCCAACCTCTAGTATTTTGTCCTTCTAAAGACTCTGGGCTATATGAAAATACTACCTCTATTTTAAAGACTAAGGGAAGGATCTGATCAAGGAACTATTTCCAAAGAAACACAGAAAATTTGTTTAATCAAATGCTCAACCCAACTATGGTTAGTTACCAAACTAACCCATCATTTTATCCTTCCTCCTCTTTCCATGATTAAAAAAAAAGACTTCTGGGTTTCAGCAGATCATAAGCTGAGCATGGGGCAAAGTCACAGTGTACCAACAAAGAAGCAACATCAGACTGGGCTGCAGAAAGGTGTTACTGCAATGTATAAAACACCACCATACACGGGATTTGCAAACCAACCCTTTGCCTCTCACTCTCCAGGGCTGGGCATGCTCAGGGAAGCTGCAGGTGACTTGAAGAGAGCCTGAAGGAGGGCTACAAGGAATGGTCAACGGCCTAGAAAGCTTCATTTGTGAGGAAGGGAAAAAGCAGAGCTGCCCAAACTATAGGAGTGAACATGAAATAACAGACATGGGTTAAATTCCAACTGGAAAGATTTCAGTGGCCAGGTTAGGACAGTGAAGCCCTAGAACAGATTTTCTAGTGCTTTCCTAAGTGTGGAGTCAGTCATGTAAATGCCTGCGAGCAAAAGTCATGCAGACATACATCAGGATGACACAGATATAGGATGGACTACATACATTTTTCCTTTTTTTTTTTTTTATTTCCTGGTCTTGGGGTTTTCTTTTGTTTTATTATTCAGTTTGCCAGAAATGTTGAGGTTTCAAAGCTTAAGCTAATAAAAGTCATGAAATGAGGCAGCTGGCCAGGGAAGAGACCTTACTGCAAAGGAAGGACAGACAGAGCTTATCAACATTTCTGGCAAACTGAATTCTGAAACTGCTGTTTCTTGAGATATTTGGGATGTTGCAGAAATTGGAGTTCAGATATTAAAAGGGTTGCAGAAAAAAAGACACAGAATCTAAGAAAGCAGGCTTATCCTGCTGCTGACAGGACAAATTGGGCTATTGTCTTTTCTGGAGGCAAAATGGCATTTTTATTAAAACGCACAGGTTATGGGAACTGAGCTCTGCGTACAGATGCATTAGCAAGTCACAGGCTTAGCCATGCAAACGCTGCAGCCTCCATTTCCCTTTTTTTGAGGTTTATTTCCTTAACATTTCCCTTTCAGAGCACCTTCCCTGTAAAGATCTATCACAAA